GCTGCACCCAGGACCTAGAGGACACGAAAGGACCAGGTCTTTCCATGTTGTGACCCTTCCTCCCTCCTCGTCTGGCTCATCCACAGATCCTGGGCATGGCAGCCTCAGTCACCATTCAAAGCCTCTGCTGCCTCCTCCACAAAAACAGAACCCAAATATGCAGGGTCAACGGACAGGTCTCTTCCTTTCTCCCTGAGCCTGGGTGCTCTGGCCCCAGACTCTCTGCACCTTTGGAAGCCACAGCTTCCGAAGTTTTGGGGATGTCCTTCATCTAAGTCCCGGGAACCCCTGTCATTACCAAAAGCATTTTTTGAAGGTAACTTTGCTGTTTCTCACCCCAACAATTCATTCATTCATTCATTCATTCATTCATTCATCTATTATTCTTTCATTCGTTCATTCATTCATACATTCACTATTCAGCACACTGGCCACTGTGTTTATTGTTTTCGGTGCAGGACTAGGCAGTATGGGCAGGTTGTCTGACACAGGGCTCAGCTGATATAGACAGAACAGGACATGAAACTAATTCAGACAGGGTCTGAAGCCCACCTTGCCCAGCTCATCTCAGGAACTAGCCATTAGCTTTAGGCCAGTAGGAGGGAACCTTGACACTGTATGGGGAAAGGGCAGAAGGGAGCAAGGCCACAGTTAGAGCCATAGGTAGAGCTGGGCAAGGGGAGAACATTGGGCAACTTCCTGGTCCCAGCTTAATTCCATGGACAAACAGCACTGCTGTGAGGTAGGCTGACCATCTAGGTTTTTCCATTGTTTGCTAGTTGTTTGGTTCTGAGACAGGGTCTCTCTACATAGCCCTGGCTGTCCTGGAACTCACTATATAGACCAGGCAGTCCTCAAACTCACGGCGATCCTCCTGCCTCAGGTGTGCACCACCACACCAGGCTAAGCCTAAAGTTCCCGGTATTCCCAGGCAGTCTCCATCCAGGTACTCACCAGGCCCCAACCCTGCTTAGCTTCCAAGATCAGAGGAGATTGGGCACATTAAGGGTGGAGGCCTCAGCAGAGGCAGGTACAGACAGGGTGGGCCAATGGGGCGGCAGCAATAGGCCCTGTCTGGTTCGTGGGGCGGGGGGTTGCTTTCCTTGGAGCTCAGCAGAGCTTCCTGCACCTAAAGAACGTGGGGTCCCAGAACTCAGGCTCAGACAGAAGAGCAGGTGAGGACTGGGACCACCCATTTAGGACATCAGGGAAGACCCTCCATTGTGCCTCTTTGATGACTGCAGAGCTGCTTGGCTTGGGCGGGCGGGGGGGGGGCACTGTCCTTTGAGGGGTCTTTGCCTGCTCCTGATGCAGGGCACACAGGGGACCTTCAGGCCCCAGCTTGCCCGCCCGTCCAGGTGGTTGTGACCTGCCTCACCTGGGAGAAAGCAGGAGCCGGTCACGTCCCCTGGGAGGACTGCAGTCGTGCTGTCCCCCCCCCCCCCACCAAGGGCTTCTGTGTACTTCATCTCCTGCTGAGCTGCAGCTCACAGCTCACACTACTTAGCACAGCCGGGCAAGGGTGGCCTCCCCAAGTCCCCTCCCCTTCTCAACATCTTCCCCTCCTGTGTCACCTGTGTTTTCCTTCTCCTCACACAAGAATGTGTCTGACGGGCTTGGGCCGCTGTCCCATCCCATTGTTAACCAGGTCACACTTTACTCCCCACAGGACAGGCCCAGGCCTGCCCCAGGGGCAGCACCACCCCCTGCTGGAGTCCATACACACCTGTTTACTTTTGGGTCCCGGCCAAGGATGGAGCCCGAGCTGCACCCTACTCCTGCCCACTTCCTTCCCGTGCCTCTCCCTCAGTGCTGCCCGGGGGCGGGGGGCGGGGGGTCTGGCTCAACCCTGCAGGGCACCCAGTTCGGTTGCTTCAGAACACTATAAATGGCAAGGGCTTCTCCCTGGGGACTTTCACACAAGAGTCGCTCGACCCCAAGGTGTCCTGTCCTATAGAACATTAAGCGCTCAGGGTCGAGAGGGGGAGGCTCCCAAGCTCAAAGCTTGTATCCTCTCTGGTCCCTCCTGGTCCCATTCCCAGCTGGCAATGAGAGGATATAGGGATGAAAGAGAAGCAGGAAAGGCTAGAAGTCTGGGACAGGAATGCCTTGCTTTGGGAAAGTGCTTTCCCCTAATACTTAAAAAATAGGGGAGTGACACAGGCCTTTAATCCCAGCACTCGGGAGATGAGGTAGAGGCAGGAGGATCTCTGTGAGTTTGAGGCCAGCCTGGTCTACAGAGTGAGTGCCAGGACAGCCAGGGCTGTTAAACAGCGAAATCCTAAATTGAAAAAACAAAACAAAACAACAACAACAACCCAAAAAAACAAAATAAAATACAAAAACAAAACAAAAAACCCAGGGGGCTGGAGAGATGGCTAGGCAGTTAAGAACACTTGCTGTTCTCCCAGAGGACCGGGGTTCAGTTCTCAGCACCCACATGGCAGGTCACAACTGTCTGAAACTCTAGTTCCAGGGAATCTGATTCTTTTACACCAATGCACAGAAAATAAAGTTTAAACAGACAACCAAAATACCCATGTCAAAAGCTGGGCATTGCTGCATGAGCCTGGAACTCCAGGACTGGGGGAGGGAGACAGGTCCATTGCAGAAGAACTTGGTGGCCACTGGCCTAGCCAAAACAGTGAGCTGTGGTTCTGTAAGAGACTCTGTCTCAAGGTAATAAGGCAGAGAGCAATGGAGGAAGACATGGCTGTCTTGCTCTGGGGAAGACAGGTGCCACCCCCACTCCCCCACCCCCAATGCAAACCCTCACAGTAGAAGTATGTGTGGTCTTAAAAGAAAATCTATGTTGAGTCTGTAAGGACTCAGGCATTATGCTGGCCTGCCCCTGTCACCTGGCAGAATGCACTCAGGCAGTGCCCCGGTCAGCCGAGGGGTCCATGAGTACTAGCGTGCACACAGGTACACGGACCCATCAAAAGACAGACCCTGTCCACTTACACTCTTTCTGCTCTCTCCTCTCTTCCAGACTCTTCTCCATCTCTGCTCTCTTCTCCCTTCCCTCTTTCCCTCTTCCCCTGGGCCAGACGGGACTTTTCCTGTCTCCCTCTTCTCTTCTGTCCTCTGTCTCTAGGCCTCTCTGCGGCTTTTCTCTTTCCTTCCCTCCCTCCCGTTTCTAATAAAACTTCTCATTTAAACTCTGTCTACCTGGTATATTTATCCCTCTGCCTTGGTCACCCTCACCCGCCATGGAATCCGCCAAAGTCCCCCCATACAAGGGACCCCCTCAAGCTTTATCCTAACAGGGTCCCATTCAAGATTCTAGTCTGATTGGTTCAGAGTGCAACCTGGGCATCAGAATTTCCAAGGATTCAGGGTGAATGTCAAGCACAGCCCAGGGCATGCCTCTTTCTGCCCTGCAGCTTTAGTCTGCCGCCAGTATCCATCCAGGGGGTGGTTCTGCTTGCCCCAGACAGTGCCTCTCTTTCCAGCATAGGCCTGGGGCAGGCAGTAACTCGCCCCACTCTCAACCCAGGGTGTTCCCACCTTGGCCAGGGCCGAAGGCTGATCCTAGAGGCTAACGGAGAAGGAGGGAGCTGCCTTTGTTCCTTTAGTGCTGTGGTCTGTAGAGAGGAAGGGGGATGGGGTAGGTGGTGGAGAGAGACAGAGGGAGGTGTGAAGCAGACTCTTTGGTGGTGGTGGGGCAGCCCCAACCGTGCTGGGTGAAGGGGATGGGCTCTGTGAGGCCCCAACCCGCCTGCCCTGCTGTGTGTGAGCCCTTATGGAATATTTGGGATAATTAGCAAATGAAAGCAGCGTGTTATGCAGGGGAATGCCGGGCTGGCCTCAGGCCAGACTCAAGGACTGAGGGACAAGGAAAAAAGAGACAGGGGGGAAGAGGGGCCTGCGGAGGCTGGGCCGCACTGCTCTGGACAGCACCAGGCCATGTTGTTCTTTGTATGTGTCCCTGAGCGCGCACCTGTGTGGGAGACAGCTGCTCACCGGGAGGGGGTGGGCACAAGGGTGCCACGCAGGGATGGAGGAGGAGCTGGTGGTGTGGAGGGGGGTCGAAAGGGATGGTCTGAGGGCCATCCAGACACACACACCCTGTGCCTCAGTTTTACCATCAGAACTCCGGTAGCCCGGACCTTCACAGTTGAGGGGGCCACAAGTCTCAGCACTGAGCCTTATTTTAAGGTGGCCTCCTGCCTCCTGGAGCCTGCATCAGGCTGGGTCTGGTAAACACACATCCGAGTAGGATGTGGGGCTCTGGCACTCCTCTGACCTCACAGACTGTCCCTCCAGGAAAGAGCTGAGGGAGGGTAGTGCTGGAAGGAGTCCTGGGACTCTTGGGGGCAGGCAGGCGAGCCTGGGCAGGCCCTTGTGGTGGGGGATGGCTTAAGCCAGGGCACACTGGCCTTTGTGAGTCCTTGGGGTGAGGTGGGGCCAACCTCCTCTCTGTCTTTTGTTCCTCTGGGCTTGCAGGCCTAAGTCTCCCATTGCACAGATGGAGGTACTGAGGCATGGGAGGCAAGGCTCCTGAGAGAGCCACCCCTTGGCCCTTTCCTCCCTGGGGACCTGGGTTGAGGGAAGACCTTTTACGAACCCTCTCTGTACCATTTTTCTGGTCACGTCTCTGTTGACATCAATCACTGCCCCCCTCCCTGCCACAAGCTACCACATTTGGCTCTGTCTTTCCAAAGAAAGCCGGAATGATGACCATGTTCAGATTTTTAAAAATTTTATTTTGAAAAAATTTTATTGTAAAGAACTTTACACGAAAAAGGTTAAATTGCCCCACGTGGAGGGTAGATACGCATCCCAGCCCCAGGGGTCAGGGTGGAGCAAGACCTGGTCCCCCCAGTGCAGACAGGGGCATAGGGCTGTCCCCTTCCTGGTCCCAGTGTCCCCAGCAAGCTGGGCCTCCCTCCCAGTTCAGTCTTTCCCTAAAACTATCTCACTAGATTAGTCTGTTCCCCCCCACCTAGCAACCTGGCTGCCCCTGCCCCAACCACCCCAAACCCAACTTCCTGTTGCTCTCAGCCTCAAGTCAGCCTCAAAGGTTTGCAGCCTCCTCTCTGCCGGGGATGGGCCAGGGAAAAGGCCCAGAGGCCATACGGACCGTCCTGCCACACCTTTCTGCACCCTCCCTATTTCTGCCTCCTCTTGGTTCCTTTCCCCAGTCCCCTGCCACCGCTCTCTCTAGTCAAGGCTGCCAGGGCCCCTGGGGAAGCTCTGCCGGGAGGGGCCTCTAGGGGGTTAATTTGCTGTCATCTAATTAGCATTTGTTGTACCTGGGAACTTTCTCTGGGTAGAGGCCCACCCGGGGAAGCAGCAGGAGTGGGTAAGACGAAGCAGAGCTTTGAGAAAGGCCCTGTTCAGTTCCTCCCTGGCCTGGCAGGCCCCTCCAGGCTTCTGTGACACAGTGTAGAGAGGCCGGGGCGTGCCTTTGCCAGTTCTTGGGCTTGGGGGAGCATGGGTCAATGAAACACTGTGTGTATGGGGGTTGCTGATGAGGGGGAGGCAGCAATTTTGGTCCTGGGCCCCCAGTTCCCAGTCTTCTGGGCTTGGATATGAGGACATTCCCAGCTGGCAGCAGTGTGGCCTCATGGAGCCAGCCTTCAGAGACCTGGCCCAGTCCCTGCCTGGGTGCTGAGATGTCCATGGGCCTATCTTGGGAGGCAGTTCTGGGCCCCGACTTGGGCACTGTCCGGAGATGGGGTGGGGCCTGACCGCTTACAAGAAGGCACCCACACTGGTCCAGTCCTGCAGGTCAGCGGCCAGGGTGGCATCCCCTGCTTCAAAGAGGGGCTCTGGGGGCAGACAGCCACTGCTACTCTCATCCCAGGGGTGCTGGAGGAAGGACGTGGCCAGAAAGGTCTCATCGAAGTCCAGGCTGTCAGCAGCCTGCTCCGCTGGAGGTCCCCAGGTGGCAGGGCAATCGATGTGGCGGCCATGGACCGTGAGGTCCACATCTCCATGCGAGGTGGGGCTCAGCGGGGGGCTTAGCTCCAAGGCCTCCAGTGAGCTTAGCTCGTCGCCCAGAGTGCCAGCCTCAAAGATGGCCTCCCAGTCAAAGTTGCCTTTTAGGGGTTCCAGCTCACCCTGCTCCTCCTGGGTCAGCAGCAATGTGCTAGGAGGCCTCAGGACTTTGGCCACCCTCTTAGGCAGCGGCTGCTTTCGCTTATGCCCCAGCCTGCCCTCTCCCGTGCCCCAGCCCCCCTCCCCTGTGGCCTCCTCAAACTCTCGCAACAGCTGCTGGGCCTCTGTGTTCACGGTCAGAGGCCCACCCCAGGGGGCGGTGTTGCGTTCCTGTGAGGCCTGGCGGGCGAAGGCAGGGTGGATGTGGACTGGGGGCAGCCTCCGCTTCTTGAAGGCCCCACTGAGCAGGCGCTCTGCATACTGGGGGTCAATGCGCCAGAAGCCCCCCTTGCCAGGTTCGTCCTTCTCTCGAGGCACTTTGATGAAGCACTTGTTCAGGGACAGGTTGTGGCGGATGGAATTCTGGATGCAGTGACAGAACAAGAGAAAAAGCACAGAGGGATCAGGGGAATGGTGTTGGGGTGGCACCCAGTGCTCCTGAACGCTCTGGGCATCTTTTCTCTGACTGGTGTGTGTGTGGGGGGTGGATCAACCCGATGCCCTGACCAGGCAGCTGGGACTCTGGGACACCAGCCACAGGGCATGAGGAGCCCAGAGTGGAGGGGGGAGGCTGGGGGGGGGCTTTTGTTCTCTGTTGCTGGGATATCTGCCTGCTCAGTCATCCGAGCTCTGAGCCACAGGGTGGCTCTCAGTGCCACCCCCTGTCATCCTCCCTCCCTCCCTCCCTCTGCTGCTTGCAGGTCCTGGCCAAAGCCCTCAGCTCCCCCGCGGCCTGGAGGCCTGGACAGCCATCTCCCTCTGCCTGGCTGGTTCCCTCTGTTTGTGAAGGGGGTGGGTTAAGGGAGGGGGCTGGGTGAGGAAGAATTGTGTGTGTGTGTGTGTGTGTGTGTGTGTGTGTGTGTGTGCGCGCGCGCGCGCGCACTTGCGCTCCTGCGTGCCCGCATGGGTGTGTGTGGTGGGATATTTAGTGGCTCCTTGTTTGTTGAGCCAGCCGCTGGCCTAGGCCTTCACCCCCCACAGTCTTCTCTTCCCACCCAAACCTCTGTAGATTATTACCCAGCCAAGTGCAGAAGGCTCATTCCTGGGGCCTGAGTTGGCACAGGCCTTGAGTAAGGAGAGGATGGGGGTCTCCTGACCCGGGGTTAGGGCCATTTGGAATGCCTCAGGACTTGGATCCTACACCCTGCCTCCACGGGTGCTTCAATGAAGACTGGGCCACCTGAGGCCTCTGTCTCCACCACCTGGACCCTGATAGTGGAAGACATTCAAAGCAGTGTGAACTTGGCCTTATCTTGCCTTGTTCACGTTTGGCTGCTTAGTTGTGTTCACACCATGGCGGTGTCCAGGAGCCCAGGGTAGGCAGGCTAGCGGGGCAGGTAGGTGGATAGTAAGTGCCCCTCTGGCCAGCAAGGCTGGGATGTTTACATGGCAGCCTGGGCCCACTGGCTGCTCTGTGCCAGGTTCCAGAGACTTGGAACCTGAAGCCTTTGCAGCAGCGGTAGCGCCCTTGTGGGAAGCAACTGGCTCAGGTAATTGCCCCCAAGGGAGGCTGGCTGAGGGGGCAGGGTGGAGGCAGGAAACTGGGGAGGAGTTGAGGTGGGAAGCTGGGTCAGTGACTTTAGGATGACCTCATGACCTCTCCCCTACTGCTCATCTCTGCCCTACTCTCCAGACCGAAGGCAAAAGGCGGGGTGCAGAACCTGGCAGGAAGGTCACCTGGGTTCCATTTTTGAGTCCAGTTCTGACAAAATCAACCTTGGGCAGAACAGTGTCTAGGAATTCTGGGACGTGGGACAAGAATGTTCCTTATAGTGTCATCCTCATAGGAGGCCGCACTGGGCCTGGAGGACCAATGTGCCCTATCAATCCCTCTTCTCCTAAAACTTCAACGTCTGCACCCCAAAGCCCTGGCTCCAGAACTTGCCAGGGCCCTCTCATGAGCCGTCTGACCTCAAAGCCAGGTGCCTCCTTGGGCTTTGTGGATCTGGAATGTGAATCTGGCCAAGAGCCAGACCAGGGAGTGAGGAGGGAATGGCCGCCACCCACACTTCCTCTCCCCTACCTGCCAGGTGGGATCCGCATGGCGAAAGTAACAGAAGTTGTCCGTGATCCACTTGTAGATGGCCGACAGAGTGATCTTGGTGGCCTTGCTGGCCTGCATGGCCATGCAGATGAGAGTGGCATACGAGTAAGGTGGCTTCACATGCGGGTTGGTGGCATAGTCCACGTCGTCGGGGGGCGGGGCCTGCAGCCCTGGGGGAGCGCTTCGAGATGTGCACGACGACGTGGGCTTGCCGGGTGTGTGCGGCTGCACAAGGCAGGCAGGGTCTGCCGCCAGGGGTGACCCGGGCGCCACCGAGCCGGGCACTTGGTGGTAACCGTGGGGGTCGGTGCCCCCCGGGGGCAGGGTGGGGGCCTTGGCGTTGAGAATGGAGAATTCCTGCAGCCACTGCAGGCTGGTCAGGCTGTCATCCAGGGCGTCCGGCTCCTCCAGGCCGCCCTCCGGCCCGGCCTCCTCCCCGGGCCCTGCTCCGCAGAGGCGCAGCCAGCTCTCCGCCATGTCTGCGGGGTCTCTCCGAGGGGGCGGTCAACATCCACGGGCTGAGCCGGGTGGCCCGCCGCGTTCTCCGGCCCGCTGGTACCCGAGGCTCCGGCTACACAGCCTCCAGAACGCTCACTTCCATTCCGCGACCCGGGGGCCGCCTCCTCCGAATACGAATGCGGGGCCTGCGGGAGCAACGCGGGGCTGAGCACTCTTCCCTACCGCGAGGGTTTCACCTCGGTGCCGGGGAGGGGACACCCTTCACCTTCGTCCTGGGGACCCGTGTCCCGGTCACGGAGAGGAGACTCAGAGCTCTGTCTGACCCCTGCTCCTCCTCTCTCCACCTGCCCTTCGAGGGCGGGCTCGTCGGCCCCACCGAGGGAGGGAGGAGGGCAGGGAGGCCCAGTCTAACTTTCTTCCAGAGAGCGGGAGCTGGGCTCGCACCCGGGGGGGCAGGAGGGCCGGCGGGGGGGCGGGGTAGGCGGGGAGGGGGTGCGGGGGACTGAGG